CAACCTGATTTTTTTAGTCAAATAATTTCAAATTTTAGATTTTTTTCCAATTCCTTAAGACCTTGTTATTATGGAAATTAGCAAATTCAAAAGTCCAAAATATCCAATGTTCTTCTTCTTCTCGAATTTGAATGAATTAAATTGTGGGTATAGTACGAAGAAGAATGGTTACAAATATTTGATAAATTGAAGAATAAATTGATATTGGAGAAGAAGAGTTAAAGATTCTTTAATAAATTAAAGAATGGATTGATATTGAAGAAGTTGAGATAAAAAAATTAATAAATTGAATAATGTGATTTGAGAATGAAAGATTAAAATAGTTATATTTAATTTGAAATTGAATAATTGAGAAAGATGGAGAGAGGGAGAATGGAAAATTGAAGATATTATGTTATTTTACCATTGAGTTTATATGAGAAATTACTGGGATTCGAAAAATTGAAAATTGTATTGATGGGGGGCCTGGCGGTAAAAATTAAAGGTGGGATCTTCACCAATTAAAAATATCTTAAATTTGTATCCAATTTTTAATTGTTATGATCATTAATTTTGATATATTATTAGATTTGATATTTACTATTCTAATTAAGATGATACTTTTAGTTGAAAAGTAGTTTATCACTTCAAATGTATGAGTTTATATATTATATATATTAGAGACTACTTTCTATGAGTGAATACAAGTTTTGGGGGAGAAGCTCCACCTCAAACTAAAATTAATGAAATTTGAGAAATTAAAAATTATTTGGCATGAAGGACTTTAGTTGTAAAAACTAAAAGGGGCACCTAAATTTATTAGAGTGCTTCCCCAATAGTAGGCTTTATTAGAAATCGTAGGTAAACACTAAAAATGAAATTAAAAATAATTACAGAAATACGATAACTGTACACATATCCTAAACTACTACACTAGTGATTGTAACATGCAAAATATAAAATTTCAATATTCTACCAAAAGATCGCTTTCTTTTGGTCGATTCAATATCTACTAGAATCACGACAGCGAAAGGTACATCAACGGCACATCATAGCTCTTTGCCTCTCCGCCCACGATGGCTAACACGTAGATTCTCGAAGCTCTGCCTACACCATCACCATATCATCATCAGAGTCAAAATCTTGGGCCAGACGTTGATAATAAAATTAGTATTATTTGAGCTAGTTGCATATCGACATAGCTTGGGAGGAACGAACGGACTTTATACCCTTAATTAATGGCGGAATCATACAATCCTATATGTTTGTGATATAATCTTTTCTTCTTCTTCTTCTTATTGTAATTCATGGCGGAATTATACAATCATATATGTTTATGATCTATTTTAATCTCTTCTTCTCCTTCTTCTTCTTCATCATCATCATCTCATCATTAAACCATCTTTCAAAGGTTTCTCAATCTCCAGAAACATTTACTTTACGAAGAAAAAAGAATCAATTGTCGATTTTATACACGAGGCTAAATTTTGTCAGGAAATTATTTTTTCCATATATCTTTGAGGTTAGGTCTATTTCCTTTGGAAAAGTTTCAATAATTTTTTCATTCTTTGAATATTATTTCATATTTAGGGTAAATTATACTGTTCATCACTAAATTTTACTCTCTTTCCTATTTTACTCACTGAACGTTCAACTTTTCCAATTTGCTCACTGAATTTTATATATTGGATGTTTTATAACTCCGCATTTAAATAATTCACAACATTATGACATGACAACCAATATTAAAATGATATAATTTTGAATCTATATAAAAAATTAAATTTTGACCAAAACAACTGCTTTTGTCTAAATAAAAAAAAATATTGTTCTTCTTTTTCTTTATTTTCTCCTCCCAACTCCTTCCTTTGTTTCTTCTTCTTCTTCTTTTTTCCCTCCCACTTTCTCTCATCAATCTTTTTGACCACCTTCATCCACCCCAATTTTTTACCGTTTCTTACTCAAAATGCTATCTACCTTCACACTGTATCTTATTCATTTTCAAATCATACTAGACAAATATTTGGCTATTAATCTCAAACAAAATCTTATCATGATCCTTAGAAATAGCCAATGATTTTAAGAATGCTAAGGTGTTAATTGTTCTATTTTATCGAACAATTATCAACAAAGTCTAAGATTCAGTCACCTCATATTCTTTTATAATCCAAACGTTAACTTTCTCCTAGTCATAATTACAAACATAACATAAGAATCCTTCCAAGAACTACAATAAAATTGTTCTATAACATATTTATTTAGTGGTGTTTTTAAAACAAATGCCACTAAATTTAAACATATAGCGGCGTTTATATACCAAACGCCACAAAATAGCAACTTTAGCGGTGTTTTTAAACAATCGTCGCAACAGATTGGTACTTTAGTGGCGGTTTTTACACAAATGTCGCAATAGGGTTCATATATAGTGGCATTTTTTAACAAACGCTGCAACAGACTTGTACCTTAGTGGTGTTTTTTTAGAAAACGCCACAATAGGTTTCATATATAGTGGCGTTTTTTTAACAAACACCTCTATAAAATGATAAATGGTGACGTGTGTGGCTACAAATATTGAAAACTTTAATAAAATCGTAACATCTTTCGGAGCAATAGTTGTGGCATTTTTTTTTTACACAAACGCACAATAGGATCCAGAGTTAGTGGCTCTTTTTTATAAATGTCGCAATTGGATCCATAGTTAGTGGTGTTTTTTAACAAACATCGTTATTGCAATGCATTAATGGCGTTTGGATTTACAAATGTAGCAAGGTTTTATAATTTTAATCATGTGAATCCCTTTCCCCCTTTCTATCTGTTCCCATGATTCCCTTTTCCTATTTCCCATCTCCACCGGACATACTAAAATACCCACGAAATTGATGCTTCCTGTCACAACTTGAAATTATCGTGGTCTCCAACGTTATGCCATCAACATTGTTCAACGTCGTCGTTGGGTTTCTATGGCCGTTGAGTTAATTATTAGAGTTTCAATAGAATGATTTTCCTGATGATCTGCAATTTTCAACTTGAAAATCATTGTCATTTTCTTCGATTTTGTTGAAACAGACTGCCATTCTTAGAATACCATTAGAATTATTGGCATGTTTTTGTTGCTTTTGTTGAAACCGACTGCCACAGCTGATACAATTGTAAGTTGTTTTGAGTTCTTTTTTCTCCTTTTGTTTTGATTGTTTTAGGATAACAACTATTTTGTTATGATCTTTTAGGATATTTGAAAACATTATTAAACTAACTTTTTAGTTCTTGTTGTAATACCCCGAATCATGGGTTATTAGTTCAAGTCAACATGAAGCCTGTAAGTCGAGCTCATTAGATTTTCCAAGCCAGTTTAGACTAGTTCTTAAGAGTATTGGACCTAACATAGGCACAAGAGTTAAAGCTAATTGATGGTTTTAAATGGAGGTAAAAAGGTAAGGGACCAAAAGTGTAGTTTATGAATTTCTTGTTTTAATGGATATGAACCCCTTATATTTTGAGGGTTTCACGTGAACCAAGCTTCCCAAATATATCTTCCATTTTCTTCTTCTTTTCTCTCTTTTTTAGCAAGCAAAGGGTTTAGGGTTTTAAGAATTCCAAGCCTAGTTTGAAGTAACCAAGATAAGAAATTTAATCTCCATCCCTCAAGCTTCAATTTGAGCCCTTAATCTTAAGTTTTGGTTAAGGTTTCCAAAAACGAGTTTTTATGGAAGTTTAAGGAATCAAAGGTTTCAAGTTAGTTTTAGTAAATTTGAGTTGAATGGAGTATTTCTAGCTCATATTTAATCCTTAAATAAGTTAGTAACATCTAGTTTTTCTTGTGATTAACTAAGGAGGTGGGAGAAAGTTCCAAAGCTAGGGGTAAAGAAAAAGTGAATCCTAGTTGATTCGAGAGGAAATTTAGCAGCTAAAGAAGACAGTTAAGACACTCACAACTCCTTTATACCATTAGTGGGTCATTAGCTTATGAGATGAAATTAAGCATGATGAGTAGATTTCTGTGGTAAGATGCATGTTTAAAAGCTATGAGATATTTTAAAGCCTTATTTATGATCCTTAGTATGCATATAAGACTTAATAATCATTGGGAAACCTCAAGGTAGAAAAAATAGAGAGATTAAGGGGTGAATTAATCATGTCTAAATAAGGCAGTTTCAAGGGTTGGTATCAATATTGCATGAAGCAATATCGATATTGTTTTTAAGCAAAGCATGAAATATGATTTTTTGAGGAGCAATATCGATACCCTTAAAGGAGTATCGATACTAAGGGTTTGGTATCGATAATAGCATACTCGGTACCGGGATTCCAGAATACCATATCACAGTATGTCTCAAGATTTTGAAAGGGCATGTATATTCATAAATCTTGATGTAAAGTTGAGTCGTAGAGTCAGTCAAGAGACACTCTATATTTTTTTAATGTATATATTTATTAGAGAGCTATCATATTTAAAGTACATTTTTTTTGCAAATGTTTTTATTAAAAAAATGGTCGTTTTAAAGTACAAGAAATGAGTAATGAGTTGGTCAGCCACTCTACTGGTTCCTTGTGGCATCCTAAATCGACCGACTGTGTGTCGTACTGGTCTAGGGTATTACACTTTTATTCTCCTTTTGTCTTTATTGTCTTGATTGTTTAGGATAACAACTATTTTATACTATTTTCCTCCTTTTCCATTTTATCTGGTTCCAATTTTGGTCCAGCTCCAGGAAGTGACACTGTTTGTGTTTTCCCCAAAAATGGTGCCAAAGGTAATAAACCTTTAGATGCTGCATCTGGGATTTTTACATTGTATGATTTTTTAGACTGATATGTGGGGATGGAAAATGTTAGTACTTAGTTTGCCTTCACTACCTTACTGTTGTGTTTTACGATGAAAATTTAATATTACAGTGTTGAAATAGTAACACATGATTTATCTTGCCTTAGTTTACTATTGTTAAATGCTTAGTCTTTTTTCTTAGCCATTTGAGGTTTCCCTCCTCTTATGCATAGTTTACTTGTTTAAATTGTAGGCGAGTCACCTATGAATATCATATGCTTCTTCAAAATCTTACAGTGCAGGTAATTATACAGTTCATTAATTGTGTTATGGTTAGCATTTTCAAATACTTTTGATTCATCAGTTAGTTCAATTTACATTTTGATTAATTTCTATTACTTCCTTACTGAAAAACTTTGCCTAATTTGGTATTTCGACCTTTAGTTTTATAAATAAAATTAATAATTCATTCAGATTTTTATAAATACAAATAAACACTCATTGTGTTTGATCTTCTATATCATTTTCAAGTTTGCTTGCTTATCCTATGTTGTCTACAGAGTTAAGGCATTGAGCCATGCAAGTTCTCATGTTTATATGGTATCTTATTGAATGTTTAAATATCCATTGTCAAACATATGGTCAATGATATGAGTTTCATGAATTGTTAATCTTTAGCTTGTGTTTCACTTGCATTGTGTACATACTCTAATCAACAATAATAATTATATTTGAGTAAGTTATTTTATCCGTTAGTTTTTTTTTAATATGATGGATGGTGGTTTACCTTGCATTGAGAAGTCATATATCAATTTAATAGCAGAGAGTTTTGGCGTAAGTTGTATGTGTAGACCTTATAATGATTCTCGGATATGAGATTAAGCGTGAATGTACAGTTTAGCCATTCATTCTCATTGTGCAATTATTATGTTGTTCCATTGCTTTTGATTATCCTGTGTTCTAAGTTTTTTCCCTTTATTATCAAATGGTTGTTTCATTATTTGAAAAAGATTTTAAGGTGATATGCTGGTACAAAGTTGATCATGCACCTTATTATTTTGGATTGTTCCAGCATATGTTGTTGCTCAAAAGCTACCTTGCGATGATTCTAGTTTTTGTAACTGAATATGTGTGTGTTTTAATGTAGGCCTTGAACAATGCAATTGTACCCTCTTCAGTGCAAGCTACTTTCCCTTACATATTTGCTGTTAGCAAGTACTTACAGGTAAATGAATACTCTTGCAGTTTTATGCCCTTAAACTATATATAAATTCTTTCAATGAAAAGCAGTCTTAGCAGTGAAACTTACACATCGAAAATTTTGATGCAGCCTGGAACTTTTGATCTTGTGGGTATGATGATCTATGATATAGCTCTATCGAGGAGGAGTTGAAAAGAGAAAGCACTACAATTAATCTTGTAAAAATGATTTTTTTAATTTTCTTGTACTACTTTCTATTTAATGATGTTGAAGTACATTACATTTCACTTGAATGTTTGTAAACTTTGATTTATTTATGTCAACTATTTTTACATAATCTGAGTCGTAATTAAATTTTAAGGTTGTTGTTATTGGATATTGCTACATAATAATAAATTTGAGTAATAAATAGTAGAAGATAACATTTGCAAATAAGGTTGGTTTAGCGGCATTTCAAGATAAAAATGTCACTAATGGACTACATAACTGGGGTGTTTTACTTAAAAAACACCATTAAATTATCTACCTTTTGCAGCGTTTGTCCCAAAATGAGACTAAATAAATGCCGCTAAATGTTCTTACATGTTGCGACATTTTTTATTTACAAATGCCACTAACGTTTGCGACGCTCATTATAGCGGCTTTTCTGCGGCACTTTTCTTTGCGTCGGTAAGCTTTTTCGGTGCTTAAAATCGCCGTTATATAACAATTTTGATGTAGTGAAGGCACCCACATCCAACTGATAGCTCTTATCAACACAATCGAGTTGAACCCATTCAATGAACTCATTTATTCCAATATCAAAATCAACAATTTTATTCCAAATTAAATCCTCGAAGGCTCTACCCAATGTAAAATCCCATCGACCAACATATCAAAGCCTCGTTTTTTGCAATAAATGGTAGAAAAATTGGAACATAAATCAAAGCTAAAAAGAAAGATTTACAAGATTCAGAGGATCTATTTTCGAAAATGATAGTAAAGGGAATGTCACGTGGATGGATTACAAAAGGAGATATTTTTTTATTAATGGTCGAACAAGAATGAATCATAATAGAGGCTAGTGAGATTGAGGCCAAAAGAGTAGTGTAACACCCTCAGACCGGTACAAGTAACCTAATCTGATCCAAGGTGTCACATTAAGGCCACCAGAGTGATTGACACTGAAGATTCAGAAAAATAAAACATAAAATGATTTAAAACCAAAATATAAGTTTAGAAATTGTAAAAACATAATTCATTAGTATACAATATAAAAACAACTTTCAAAATCTAATATGAAATTAATTTGTAACCTACATGCCTCCTAATTAATCATGTACTATACTCCGTAACAGCACCGAAGGAACTCCCATTACTGATGTCGATACTGCACATGATCAATTCTTTAACCTGAAATGGTATGTAAGAGAGTGAGCTTTGGGAAAGCTCAGTAATACAAAATTACCAAATGATACTAAAGGCCAAGCAAATATATGAAAAGCCTGAAATTCCTTAGTAGTCCCAGCATCCACAAGTTCTAGTGATGAGTTGAAATTTCATTAATCGATTATTTAGATAACAGTCAAGAAATTTATAGATCGAAAGAATCAGATCGAGATAGATTACAAAGATTAAGTTGGAGATTTTGGTGTGTTCCATAAATGCAGAGAAAAACGTATGGTAGTTTTCAAATAGTAATAATTCATTTCAACAAAACATACTTTTAAAAATATAGTAGAATTTAGTTTAAAAATCATATAATTACCCTTCATTCAAACACTAAAATGTGTAGGTTCCCTTGAAACATACACCCACATGTACACCGGTAAGGACCTTCTACATATAACATTAGGACTTGTAGTAAGGACTTAGATTGAGCATGAAGCAAATGAGCATGCGGTAAGGACTACCCTATGCAAAAAGAAGAGGAGCCTACGATAAGGACTTACAAGTCCTAAACTAAACATAACAATACTTTCTCCAACAAAACCCCCAAAAACGATAATAAAAAATACACGTGTTTAAAAGAAATAAATAATTTAATTTATTAAAGCAGAAAAATATTTGATAATAAAAACATGTTTACAAATCAGATAAATAATAGTAACTAAAGATCATGTAATCAAGGAGTATTAGATAACTCCAAGAAATTCATAAAAGCATATCAAAATGGTAATGTAACACCATGGTGAACACATTAGAGTGTTTGATTTATTTCTTGAAGGTATTTGATAATTATTAGAAATGGAACACCAAATTTAAGATAATATTGAACTAATTTCATAAATGAGATACATATTGAAAGGGGTTGTGATGTAAGGTACTTGTACCTTCAATTGATTGGAGATCTAGGAATGAAGAAAAACAACTTGTATAAGTGAATGGCTCAAACAGAATGGTTTGGTAGTTGATGTAAAGGTGAAATGGAGGGCTCTTTATGATAAGAGATAGGTAGCGGAAGTATTGTTGTTATGGCTATGGTGTAGGCTTATGAATGAATAGATGGTTGTGAGGATAGTATCTTAGAAAGACCAAGGAAGAACCAGTGCTACAATGAACAAAGACCCAGCCTTACAAATCTCCCTAAGGGATGGTAGAAAAGGACTTGGACCCACTATCTATAAAGAGATAGGAACCACAACTATCAATGGAATAGAGGGTGGCACCAAAAGTAAGAATTTACTTGATAAGTAGATAAAAGTCACAAGGACTTGAGAAAAGAGAATAATCTCACTTTAACTAATATGAAAGGTACATTTACAAATGAATAGGACTAGTCTATTTATAGTTTTTGAAGAGATGTAGATGAAAGGGTACCTAAAGGTTCGACTAGCCCTTGTATCTCTTTAAAAATACATAATTAATTAAATAATTAAATTGAAAGCATAGGTGTTGGGTTAGTTGACATGGGAAGTCCTAATTCTTGGTCGAATAATGATTTAACCACTTCAAGTTGACGCCAAAGTGAATGGATAGGTGCCTTGGCTGAATGGTGAAGTCCCTTGGTGTTTGGCACGCATAGGAGAGTCACACGCATTTCACACACTTGCTGATCACATGGGCATGCAAATGGGAGTTCTAGGGATGCTTGTGGTGTAGCCTTGTGCATGGGATGAAGGTTGGTCATTTACATCTCCTTTGGCGTGTGTGAGTTCTCCCTCAAGCTGGCATAGGCGTGCATGTAGCTAACAAGCAAGTGGGATGTTATGGGTTGTTTTTCCAACCGAGTCCTCCTTGGTTCTTTGGCATCTCTTATAGCTACTTTCAGCTGGTCACTTGATCAATTTCATTAACTTAGCTTCAAATAGTCCACCTAGATTAGTTTAGCTAGCGTTGAGCTCCTCCAGCTGATTTGAGCTTCCCATTTTGTTCCATGAGATGCCATGAAGCTTGTGATAATTGTGAGTTGCATATGAATTCCAAATACTTCCACAAGCTACCCCAATGTGTTCCTTGCTTCCATGTACCTACATGTGAAAAGAAAACAAGGTAAATGAATGTGTATTACCTTGTGAGCTATGAATGCATGTCATGAGCTAAGTACATTATGATATAACATGGGTAATCTAATGTATAAAACTTATGAGTTGTATTGAATGCAAATGAGCTAAGAAATGAAAGATTAGGCATGCTTCCATTTCATGAATAAATGAAAACATACTTAAATAAATGCAAAACTTAATATAACATAATAACATACTTGAAATAAAATTATGCATCAATTAACATAAATATGTGGATAGGCTAAGTTACTCTTCAGCTATTAAAACATTATATAACTTAACATTGGATGGTGTTAAATTGTCAAATGAATTGAATGCTTTAAGACACTTGGTTAAGACTACTTCCCTAAATTGTTTGGCTCTTGATCGAGTAATGGGACCTTGAGGCATCACTTCTGGATCTAATGTAGGCATGACCACATTATCCCCCTTCTTTTAGGCGATTTGTCCCCAAATAATTTCCATATTCAAATGGTGATAAATCAGATATATTGAATGAAGAACTTACAACACCAAACTCACTAGGAAACTCTAGTTGGTATGCATTGTCATTTATCTTTTCCACGACTTGAAATGGACCGTCTCCTTGGGGTAGAAGTTTGGACTTCTGTTGATTTGGAACCTTTCTTTTCTAAAGTGTACCCAAACCTAATCACCCACTTCAAAGGTTACCTTCTTCATTCCTTTGTTTGCTTGTTGCTCATATTATCGAGTTCTTCTTTCAATATTGTCCTTGACTTGTTGATGGAGACTTTTCACGAATTATGCCTTGTCATTTCCATCTTTGTTCACTATTTGATAACAAGGAAAAGGAATTAAGTCTAAAGGAGTTAAAGGGTTAAAAACATACACTACCTCAAATGGAGAATACTTGGTTCAGGAATGAATGGTTCGGTTTTCGGCAAATTCTACATGTGGTAGACATTCTTCCCAAGTTTTGATGTTCTTCTTGATGATGGATCTGAGTAATGTTGACAAAACTCTATTAACCACTTTAGTTTGTCCATCTATTTATGGATGCCATGTAGTTGAAAAGAGTGATTTTGTGCTAACTTTACTCCACAAAGTCCTCTAGAACTGGCTTAAGAATTTGACATCTCTGTCTGACATAATGGTTCGAGGAAGTCCATATAACCTTACCACTTCTCTAAAGAACAAATTTGAAACATGGATGGCATCATCGATCTTGCTGTAGGGTATAAAGTGAGCCATCTTAGAGAACCTATCAACCACCACATATATTGAATCCTTTTCACTCTTGGTCTTTGCTATCCCCAAAACAAAATCCAAAGAGATATCTACCCAAGGCATGGTTGGAATTGGCAAAGGCATGTACAATCAGTGGGGCATAACACTTGATTTTTCCCTTTTACACACTAAGCATCTTTCACATACCTTTTCAATGTACCTTTTCATCTTTGGCAAAAAGAGATGTTCTTTCACTTTGCTAAGTGTCTTTTCAACACCAAAGTGTCTCGTGAGTCCCCCTTCATGTACTTATTTGGTAAGTACTTCTAATATGGAGCCTTCTAGGATGCAAAGTCTCCCTTCCTTAAAAACATAGCCATCATGCTGGTAGTATTTGTCATGAGAACCTATTTCATATAAATTATACTTTTCTCCAAAGTCCAAGTCAGTAGCATAATGTTCTTTGATGAATGAGAAACCAAGGAGTTTAGAATCCAAAG